TTAATAAATTAAAACTATAGTGTATTATTGACGGTAGTGCACTTCATTGTGGTTTGAAAGCCACGTGAACGTCAAGATATAATACAGTTGTGCTATACTCTTGAGCTTTATTTTTGTCATGTGACGCCCTTTCTGCGAAATTTGAGACTTTCTCGATGTGCCGACCCGCCAATTGATAAAATGCATGATTAGAGGATAATTTAACAATTAGCTGGTCAGTCACTAATTTACAACTAATTATGGCATAATGTAATTTTGGTTTTTGTTACCAATCATTAATTACTTTAATCTAAAACTGAAAAAAACAACCTTCGATCCGAATCACTGCGTGTACAAGGATTTACTGAAATTTTCTATTATGACAAGGGCTTGTAATGCCTGCATTTCACATGTGTTGTCGTGCTTCAAGTTGTTATTTTTGTGGTTCTCGGATGTTATTGTTTTAATATTACTCTGAAAAAACAATGTATTTCAAACTCATGGCAGGCTAACATTCGTACGATCCGGTTATATTGTCTGTAATTACTAAGATACAAAATAAACGAGAACATGACACTATCACTTCTGTTCGATAATGCATTGGTTTATGAAGTGCGCATATTTTGACAACCAAATAACATAATTCTCGTATTTAGGGGGCGTTCTCTTTGTATGAACTTTTATGTTTAATATATATTAGTCCTTGTCTATTTGCTAGTTTGTCTGCACCTATATCTCAAACATGTCTGGACCGATCACATTCCCTGAACTCCGTGACTAAGATCAAGACTTTCCGTTTTCGACACTGTGATATTCTTTCGTTTTTATTAAAGTTATTTTTCATACACGAGTTGTCGACCACAATGCATAGTTTGTCGTTTCATTCAGCCCCCTCAGTCATAATTCAACTTCGAATGCAAAAATATAGAGAAAATAGCAAATTATCCTCTTTTTTTTTGTGCAATATTCTCGCGTAGTCGGTAATTATGAAAATCGTCATTTCTAGGTATATTTCGTTATGAATTATAATATATTTCAAAATCAGTTGTTTTCAGGTTCGTTCTCCAAAAAACAAAAGAATTTCACGATGTCGAAAACGGAAAGTTTTCGTCGTAGTGTTCCTGACTGACTTTATTCGCCTTCACATGTTTACATACATCCTATCAAATTATAACAACACTCGCTCTGCGATTGTCATAATAGTACTGTATTGTGTCGTATCATGTTGCATCTACAGTTTGCACAAATAAAATTTAGAAAAACAAAACAATATATAAAATATACAATATTAAAAAATAATAGAAAATAAAAACAATAAATAAAAACTGTTTTCTACGCGCCTGCTTTCTGTTCTTTATATAACCTGTTTGTTCTGAGGTTAATTTTGGGATTCATGTTGTTTTGATATTTTGTGATTTTAACCGGTATTGTATCACTACTGCAGCCATTAGTGGTGTCCATGCCCATTTATATGCAGATACAAAATTTGTGGAAAAAAAAGTTTTAAACTAAACATGTATGGGATTTTCGAACAATCGATTTTATTGTAAACTACCAAACCTTGTTCGTTTGCCGTCGCGGCCAATATTCAGACATATATATCAACGGACATTTATCATATACATACACGTGTGAGTAACATGTCTTGTGTAACATATTACGCACCAGAATTATCAACTATTTTCTCATTCATAAAACGTGAAATGTCGAGATTATTAAATATCATAATGGCGTGTTTCACAATTTAAATTGATGGTTGCATATCGTGGACACTGACTGTGTATCAATATAGAATGCGTTTTGTCTACAACCCGTCCTCAAGAGTCTGTCATGATTACGTCGTCCTTTTTCTCATAATACGTATAAGTTGTTATACATATATAAAGTTGTTTCTTTCGTCGTGACTCTCCAGTATATATTGCACAAAGACGACTCAAAAACTGTCTCGAGTTACTCATCAGTTATTCATCTTCGATTGGCAAGATGTGAGTTTACTCAGCTACCATCTCACAATTTGTTGGTAGCCGTAACACAAGCTGCAACCGTGCGATTCGGACGATGTCAGACTTTTTGATACGGTTCTTTGACATTCATATTCCACCATTTGTACGGCAATGGTGTGTGCCTCTGTACTGTCACTGTGCTATCAATATCGTGGATCTCAGTGTTCCACACGTCCACAAAGTGTACCAATCGAACCACCGTCTGGGAGTGCAACTGTTCTTGAACAAAGTCTTCGAACATATCCATTCCTTTCACCACGGGACCGAACAGTCTTGGTACGACTTGTAACAAAAATACAACTATGTCAGAGATTCTATTACTTATTTACAGAATTTTCTTATCGAATTTTGATTTGATTTCCTAACTCGGTTGCTCGTAAATACAAAGCTTATATTTGCATTTTTTTGGATGAATCCAAACGTGACACAACACAAGTTTTGTTTCGTAAGAAATATAACTGACATACACATAGAAAGCTTTCCATGTCCATGCGCAGCGAAACTGGTTGAATGCGGACAACGCGCGCAGACGATAGGATGATACGAACCCAAAACTGTGTTATTTCGATGTTTTTTTGTTCAAGGATTTGTTGTAAAATCCGAAGGAAGTGTGCTGCTATTACAACGCCTATGCAAAGTGATTCTAATGCCACGACAGTTTGTGTTTACTAAATAATTTCTTTGAATCGAACAACCTAAACGAATAATTAATCCATTACGTAATACTCAGTGACGTCATTTATGAACTGCACTGCTGTTTTCTTACCTGCGTGTTTATCCAAAATTATCATATTTACAGGGTTTGGAAAATACGGCACTGCCTTTTTTGGATTAATTTCAGATCTCATCCACATCATAGGTACTTCAAGAAAATCATTTGGTTTCAGATCCATTTTTTCTACGAGAATCCTTTTAATATCATCAATGAAGTGCTGGGAATAAAACACAAAAGACCTCTTAGTAGAATCTTAACTAGACTCGGAGTCCCTAACATCGTTGATTTTCCGCCACTGGATCCTACCCCGATATACCAAGAATTATAGTGTAGTATATCAACTGTAATGATGCAATATACTATTTATTATAGCATATCAACTGCAGTAGCCTGGCATGTAGACGTGAGCGGCGCCCTCGCCGACCGAACGGCATGTGTTGGTTTGAAGCACCGCGGAGGGCGCAACTCACGCGACCTTGTCAGGCTACAACTGTAGTGGTGTAATATATTTGGCATCGTATATCAACTATAACGGTGTAACTATTTGGTGCAGTATATCAACTGTAATGATGTAATATATTAAATATAGTATATCAAATACAGTGTTGTAATATTTGGCATCGTATCAACTACAATGGTGTAAACATGTCTACCAGCTATGCACATAGTATTTGTGTCTCCTCCTTTTATTTAGAGTAATATTAACGTAAATATTCTACCTGAAAATATTGACTGTCTTGCCAGATCCACCTGTTGTATTTCACATCCAACAGATGGTTCACTGTAATCGTGGCTGATTCTCTCCCACGAAATTTACCTGCCAAGATAGCATTACAAAATATGCGTAAGCGATCACGTGAGAATGCGTCCAAACACAGCAAAGCTAGCACGTGAAAATAAAGTACCAATCATATCATTTCTAACACGCGGCAATACGCATACCGTACGTCAAAATCAACACTTTTTATACCTTCAAAAATTCTTGTATCTCCTCTACCGCTGTCTTGTAAATGTTTGAGTATTGTAAATGCTTGTTTTGTACTTGATATAATAACCTTAAAGCCCTGTAGAAATATGACATACAATTATGATAAATATTGATATACTGCGATTTCATATCCGTGCCAGAGTGCTCCCGTCAAAAACACGTATATTGGTGAAGACAATGGCGTTTAAATCGACCGCTGTTCGTCTTCACGAATATTGTAAAATCGCTCAAAAAACATAGTTTTCATTGATGGACGTCTACAGACCAATATTTTGAGCGGTCTTTGTGTCGTGTCGCCATTCACATTACATGGCGTGATTTGTCAAAGGTATACCAATATTTCCCCAGAGCGGTCGAGTGTTTCGTATAAAATGCAACTGCCCGCATCACTTTTTTACCTTTTCGTGGTTTTCTCTTGGTGATTGTACAAAGTTGATTATTGATGTCATGCTTGGCTTTTTCATCCAATCCAATGGTATTTGAATAATTGGTTGCACTTTCTGTCTCCTCAGTAACTTCCTGAACCACACACCGCTTTAAATTGAGACGTGGAGCGGACAAACAGTTAGTATATGAAATCAACATATGTTGGTGAAATGATATATTGTTTCCTATGTTAGTGACATGTTATCGTATCGCTATATACTTTGGTAACGTGATATCATATCGCTGTATATGTCGGTGACGTAATATCATATCGTTGTACATGTTGGTGACGTGATATCATATCGCTGTATATGTTGGTGACGTGATATCATATCGCTATATATGTTGGTGACGTGATATCGTATCGCTGTATATGTTGGTGACGTGATATCATATCGCTATATATGTTGGTGACGTGATATATCGCTGTATATGTTGGTGACGTTATATCATATCGCTGTATATGTTGGCGACGTGATATCATATCGCTATATACGTTGGTTACGTGATATCATATCGCTATATATGCTGGTGACGTGTTATCATATCGCTGTATATGTTGGTGACGGGATATCTTATCGCTGTATATGTCGGTGACGTGATATCGTAACGCCGTATATGTTGGTGACGTGATATCGTAGCGCCGTATATGCGGGTGACGTGATATCATATCGCCGTATATGTTGGTGATGTGATATCATATCGCTATAAATGTTGGTGACTGATAACACATCGCTGTATATGTTGGTGACGTGAAATCATATGGTAGCAAAACATCGTCCAATTGTAAAACATATCAGCTACTAGCAATGCTTGAAATTTCACATTTAACAATTCTTACCAATTAATTTCATCCTCTTTGATAAGTATACATCCTAGGGGATACCGGGGAGGGGTTGAAGGCATGGCAACCAATGGATGCATCGTGTTACACGCATCGTGGCAGTGACAAATTTGAGTGTCTTCCGTCTGCAAGACAACAATGAAAACAATAACTACGGTCTTCGCTTTCCAATTGCAAATACTCCTGTCATAAATTGGAATGATTGTTCAATGACTATATATTCTACGTATTTGAATATATGTAATAAATGTTCGCGTGACTGGTAAATATAATTATCACCAAATGGTGGTAGCATTTATTTATTCGTAAAACTCAGTAAAAATAAATCCCTAGTTAATGACCGATCGGAACTCTAAAATTATAATTTTAGCTTTTTTTTATTTAGACAGTGTTGACGTTACACTGCTCAAACTATACCACAAAAAGTGGTTTTAAATATCAAAACACTAACGCAAAAATGTTCTATTCTATTCTATATTGCACGAAAACAAACTCACCAGATTATTCTGTATTATAGTTGAATATTTGAGTAGTTCTGCGGACGTCACAAACACTACTGGTAGTGTTTGCGTTGGAGTTTGTGTATACCCAAACAGCATATGCCCCTATTAAATATAATGTTAGCAAATAACAGTTAGAAATACTTTGTTGATATCAATCACCTACGGGTTGTCCATAATACCAATATGTTGCAATTAATGAAAGATGTCGGATTTATAGAATATATTTGCCCAATAATGTATTTGAAAATATGTGAAAAACAATGTGTACATTATATTATATTATATTATATAAATTATAAACAAAATATTTAGGTTCATAACAATATTCAGATCTCTAGCAATCGCACAAATCAGTTAAAATTATGCTCTTCGAATCAAAATACAAGCACAATTTTAATGACTATTTAAAAGAAAGTTTTGAAACAAAATTGACCAGAAACTTGTTGAGGAAATAGTTTCACAACTCATTGAATTCATAATTTATGTTGATTTATTTCCATTTCGATAACTAAACTATGTAAATAAATTAGCATACCTGGAGGCTATCGTTCATTTCGTCAGAGTATTGAACGACATTAAGATCCGTTTTTCCTTCCGCGATCCTTGAAAGGGTATTAATGAGTTGTGTATTGCCTGGCCCCGTGTCAATGAATATATTAACAGCTGCTTCGGTTGATGAAGGGATGATGAATGGAGAGGCGCGAAGTTGTATGCTGTCCTTATATGCTGCGATGCCATGCTGTCAATATTAGATAAGCAGTTATGAATGGGAATACGCCTTAGTACCTTGCCCGTTGCGCCCTCTGGCGATACGGCGTTTTGGTGACGTCACAATGACATAGTTAGTTGTAAGCAATATATATGTTGCCTAAAACGACAACTCTCTTGGTAAATCTCACAAAAACATTATTTTTCTTTTGTTGACACACGACTACGAATCAAAACTTTCACCCATTACACCACAATCGGTCTTCGTCACGCGACAAAAGCGTATTTAATTACTGAATGAATATTCAGCGGGAGGGTCGTCACATGCGCACGCGCGGGAATTAAGTCCCAAGCGACGATAACAACACACGCCTAAAAACACAAAGGCCCATGGGTAGACGCTTGTTTGTAAACAGTGAAACTCTATGGCCATCTGATGCCTGCGTAGGTGACGACTCCCCCGCTTTAAGTGAAAAAAGACCAGGTGTAAAGCGAAATCAGATTAGACATACATTATCTGGTCAAATCCTGCGAGAAATATAGTATATTTCGTGCACAATGACGGGTGCAATCATGTATGACAATATAATGTGTGAAATTCTTTTGATAACGAATATTTCTTAGTACTTTCTTGAAAACAGCGTGGTTTATTTCAAAGTATTTAAAGCGGGGAGAGCCGTCACCTGCGCGTGCGCCAGACGGTCATAGCGTGTCGTAGTTTACAAATAAGCGTCTACCACACGTCTGCCGCATGCGCAAATGAGGACTGCCAGCTTTAAAGTAAAATCACTACTTGAACCCAGAAGAAGAAAAAAAAACAATGCGTATATGTTTTAATCTCACATATTTTAGTATCATATCGATAGAAAATACGCCATGTCCTTCGCCCATAGTACGCGGAAGCCCTTTAAGCCATAGAGGTATTTCGGAACGTTGTGGGAATTTGATATCTACAGTTTCCATTTTGATAATCCCTGGACCTAGAAGTCGTTCGTTTTCTTCCTGGAGTGGATTCTTTCTGTATATATAGACGCATCTCTGCGATTCCTGTGATTGGCAATAAACAGAAACGTGTGTACATAATGCCCTTCTTCGTCAAAGTGTTGTGTTTTTTGATTGATTGATTTTGTTAGCTAAGAACCATGGAATGTCGGCCAACGCACTCATGCTTTCACTCATAATTATATATAATTGTGAAGTGTTATATGGCACGAACGAACAAATCGACGTTTACTTAGGGGGCTCTTTGTAAGCAATATACTATCAGGGATAATGTAGACCGTGACGTAGTGGAGTAGTACGAGCGATATGATAATACACTACTTCTAATTATCCCCAGTATACCTTCTGATTTGATTGGTGATATAGTAAAAGCGCATTGATAAAAGAGCATTCATTACCTACCCAGACAATGATAATACACACTCCAAGGGTTTCACGCGTGTATTCGCTGTTTGTGAGTAACTTGGGACTAATTAACTCGATTTTTTTCGGCGCTTTTTGCACCTATACGTATTAGGGTGGTGTGTTATTCGAACTGTCTGATCATGCGCGTTTCTTTATTTGAACTGAGTGGGAATGGCGCAATGCGTTATTTTGAGACTGTCTGTTATTGGTGCTCTGCTTTGCTTGAACTTTTGCTGAAATTGGTACAATAATTTATTCGAACTAGTTTTGTAGTTTAATTGTTTAGACTGTGTGTGAGTGCGATCCGTGTAATGATTTCGACTGGTAGCGATCATTATATTTTGGTTGGTGTTTTGTCCCTGTTCGTTTGTTTGCTCTGTATGAGATTGGTGTAATATGTTTTGAGAACGTTCCGACATTCAGCATTTCCGCCATATTCAACAGCTTATATGTAATTATAATTCGTTGAAATATCTGGATCTATTTTTGCGTTTAAGGAAGTATCGAAAATCAAATTTACCTTGTCGGGGAATGCCAGGTGTAAAGACCATCCTCCCGATGGTCTCGGACCACGTGACCTTATGAGACATTTAGTCATATATTTACGTTGACGACGTGCCTCTTGTATCTTCCTCACGCTCATTTCAGCATATGTCGTGCCTGGCGGGTAATCCGGATGTTTTCGACGCGTTGAATAATGTCCGAAGTCTGTGATAACGATGGCGCCGTCATTCAAATATCCCCACTTCCACGAATTCTAAATTTTTAAGATACATTAATTTGTAAAACGTGTGTTAAAAATACATGATCACACGTGCTTTCGGAGACTGTGACGTCACAGTATACTTTGAGGATGCTAAACCTGGTTAATGTAATTATCAACGGAATCTATATTCTGAACTACTAAGCACGATTACTCTTTTTAGTAACCGTGTACTAAGTAAACATTTAAACGCACTGCATTTTTTTTCGCCGAGGGGGAGGTTCCATAAAAACAAGAGCAGCTGAGAAATGGTGAGAACGTGTTTCCATGGAAACAATGACGCAGTGATTTCTCTCGCGGCGTTAAAGCCGTACAGGAGCATTTTGTATTGAAAACAATAGCAAATAATTCTGTTTGTCATTCACTTGTAACTCGAAAAAACTAATCAACCGTTGAAATATAATGACATTTCCTCCGTTACGTCAAGTTGCATGGGTGGAAATAAATAAGTGTTAAGACGAAGCCTATATAAACAAACCGCAGTGGCATGTATAGTGCTATTTAAGTTTGAGTTTACAATGTTACATTTTGAGTGGTACAACGTTGTTGTATTTGGGATATTATTTCCACATGTTGTGTTGATAACTATAGAGGTCGCCGTTCGTGGCAGTGAATACACCCTGAATATGTGTACTTGAGTATATGAAGTTATATTGACCAGTGTGGTGGAGTCTGAACAAATACTTTCTCTCTCACCTTTAAATTGCTGTCCTTTTCAATAACGCCATCGCGATCAGCGTCCACGTCAAGGGAGATAGAAATTATTCCAAGTCGTAGAACAGCTGTGGTTGATGAACGAGGATTGAACTCACTTGGTTCAAATGCCAGGCTTACCTGTGGCAATGTTGAAAAACATATATCAGATTCTTGAAATAAAATGAGTAATTTACAAAACAATATTACAATCAGAAAATATGAAATGGGATTTATATAACAAAATTTCGTTTCATGAAATGCAGCATGGAGTTTACAAAACAAAACTTATTTTTACTAATATTGCAACTCTTGGCTTGCCATAGTCAGTAGTAGTATAATATACATATAATAGTGATATCGCTGTAATATAACTATCAATAATAGCATATGATATATGTACATGTATTGGCCATGATACATGATAATTGTTTAGTAGTAATATAACAAAAAAACAAACAAATATCCCAATTTAATAATGCAGTTGTGCCATTTGAATTGTATATCTTTACTGTGTCTTGATATAACATATAGTTTTCAGGCGAACTTACCGTTATGTGTCTAGGAGCATCCCTCAATGCATCAATAAATATACGTGGACACCTTGTGATATCAAACATGACGGCCTTCCCGAATTCCACATCGACGTCTCGTTTGTTACTCTCATCTGTATATCTTGCCTGTATATGGAATGGGTGGCTAGTGCGGAGGGTGAAACTGTGTGCCTCCTCCGGGGCCACCGCTATCAATAAAATCTCCAATGTCGTGCCGACAACGGCAACCTCTGTTATTGGTGTTCCCAGGGAAGGTGATATGGTCCTTATTCTACGGTCGTCGTCGTATTGGTGTCGTTTCGTCATTGTTTTTTTGGATGCGTCGGGTTTTATCAAACTCAGCCTGCTCAGACTGGATGACCTGCTCCTCAGGGATAACGTGGACCCACTCTGTTTAGGCAAAAAAAAAACATCAGGTGAGTACGTGGCGCCCTCTGGAGTCTGTGTCCCGGGAATCAAGGGTTTGCATTTTCAGTTGTTCGAAACGAACGTAAAATGTATGTTATATAATGATTTATCAAAATGTAATGCGTGTGATGTTATTATATAGAAAGACTTGATTATTAATAAACTCCAATTTTGCTTTTGCAATACACACAAACACTAATGCACATGTACAGTGGTAAATTGTGTACGTACCAAACAAAACAATGCACATGCGTATTAGAATATTGCATCGTTTCATCGAACGAATAGTCAAGTTAGTTGTGTGCTACAAAAACAACGTATGATAAAGTATAAACCAATTTTATTAAACAACAATATTAAAAAATGACAATACATCTTTGAAAATAAAATAAAAAATACACTGGAATCCGGTGAAATTCCTATGGTGAAATGAAAATGATTTTTCGGAATGCTCACTTCAGGAAAATTATCTCAACTACACCTTTCTGGGGCCAGCCACTGATCTTTTATATGTTTTCCAACCCCATGCTCAGTGCAAAACAAGCAACTAACCAGGGTTTCCCTTGCCGTTTATTCGGTGTTATTTGCTTACTTTACTTCCTATGTCGACAGCAACTATGAGTTTAAAAAGGGTTTCCCTTAGACTAGAATCCCGATGTTCTTGTGTCGGTGCTTTGAACTGGGAAAGTCCTCGAATTACTTGGTTTCACATGTCTCATCGTCCATAATGAAGGTGAGTGAGATGGGATAGGGACGACTGGCGCATTAATCTCAATGCATGTAGTTACGTCGCTATGTAAAATACCAACACAGGTAGCTTTATTTACGTCACTTGTTATCTCATACCCTCGGTATGCTGAGTCGATTCAATTGGTCGTATTGCGTTGCACGTTCTGAGTAAGTTTGTTTTGTTTGGGACGTTCGATGACCGAATGAATACCACGCTGTGTCGTAGCTATGCGATTTGGTGCCATGATCACGTGTTTGAATCACAAACCTTGTCTCATGAATTTACCGAGAAGACTTAACTGAAAATAGGCTTCCCTTTACTCTACTAATAATATTTAATATTTGTTGAATTTTATTATATATTTTCTATCATACGTGCATTATCTATTCAAAGAGGATTTATAAAGCGTATTATACTAAACAAAGCCACGGTTTGTAAAAAAAACACCCCTTACCTTAAATAAGACCGTGCTGGTCTTCTTAACCGAAACTCCAGCGCCCATCTTTATTTGTTGTTGGTGCCGAGCAAAACAACTCGAGCTGCAAAACAAACGAAAGACAATAACTTGAATAGTTGAAGTGAACCCACTGGTTATTTCAATTAAATCATATCGTGGCAATAGTGATCGATCGGAATGTGTCTATTGTTGTTTGTAACCCCTCGTCTATTGTGGTTTTTTTTTTCAGTCGTAGTCGATGTAATCCCGCCTCTAGCTTACTTTGTCACGTCATAGCTCATAGTGAGTCACAATCACGAAATCCGAGTCAATTCATCGAACACTTCTACCGTGAAATTACAGTAAGGTTGGAATTCAGTGAAGTATTATGTTTCTGACTATAACACACAGTGTTCTATGTAAGCGTGGGGGTGATTCGAAGTAAATGTCTGATTTATGTTTTGATATTTCCAAAAGTCGATAGTAAGAGTTTATTATATTGTCCATGAATGAGTATTTTGTTTGTTTGTTCTAAAACACCTGGCGTCGAGGGTAGATTTTGGGATAATTATACTGACCCCCATGGTTGGTAAGAGGATATAACTCCAGTAGCCACGGGTAGATCTGAACAAAAGTGGTTATGTATCTGTGAATAATTGTACTCAGTGTGTCTCATACTTGGGAATAGCTTAACTGATCTGGGTTCTGTATCCAACAATAATTCGAGTCAAAGGTCTTTGTATCTTACAATAACTCCAGTCAGTGGGGTCTATATCTGACAATAACTCGAGTCAGTGGGGTCTATATCTGACAATAACTCGAGTCAGTGGGGTCTATATCTGACAATAACTCGTGTCAGAGGGGTCTATATCTGACCATAACTCAAGTCAGTGGGGTCTATCTGACAATAACTCGAGTCAGTGGGGTCTATATCTGACAATAACTCCAGTCAGTGGGGTCTATATCTGACAATAACTCGTGTCAGAGGGGTCTATATCTGACAATAACTCGAGTCAGTGGGGTCTATATCTGACAATAACTTGAGTCAGTGGGGTCTATATCTGACAATAACTCGTGTCAGAGGGGTCTATATCTGACCATAACTCGAGTCAGTGGGGTCTATATCTGACAATAACTTGTGTCAGATGGGTCTGTATCAAATAATAACTCGAGTCAGATGGGTCGCATCTCAGATTGATTATACTAACCCCAGGGTCTGGGTCTGAGAATTGGCGACCATGTTCAGGATTTGAACTAAGGTATAATAATTGAAACATGATTCGTCTTCTTCTCTTATGGAGTTTCTTAATATCTGTTTTAACAATTTGCCTTGATTAATAACAGACCGGGACTGATTGAGCACCGTGTTATGTACTGCAGCTCTCAAGGTTTCCCAAAAGGCCAACACATACCAGACAATTCAATAATTTAGAAGATCGAACCTTGGTTGATTGTCGATTATGATTCTTACTTACCTCCCGTGTAAAACAGTACCAAGAGATTTAACCGTCTACTTCCTAACTTCAGGGATTTGTAGCGGGGTTAACATTTCAGCTATTACCATCTTCGCGTCAAGTTGCAAGCACGTTGTTCAGCCTGAGTTTAATATCTCAATTTGTCTCACCCTTGTCGTATTCCAATGACCGATTGACTCTTCTTTGTACTAAAATAACAACCAGTAAAACTGAAGAGCACAATACGGTATTGAGACTGTCAAGCGAGCGACTCTAGTTATATATTCATTGTACTTACATGAAAGGTGATCTGTATTATTAGGGTGAAGAGCGGCCCGGTTGTTCGAGTCATTTGCATAACAAGAAATTATGACCCGAGTGACCTCGAAGTAATCAATTGTAAAACGGTGTACTTCATTTTATGGCTATTATAGCCCACCATGACGGCTCAATTCTTGTGAAGTAAATTAAAGAAAAGTCGCCAGGCATGACGGTAAACTACACAATGCTATCCAATACTTGTACACAAAGAAGAATTGTCTGAAACACGTACGCCACGTTGGGTATTTTCGCCTCCATGGATTCCGCCAGTATCACACTCTAATTATTCGCATCGTATACTATTAACGTTCATCAAATTTGCTTACGCATAAGGTCCTATCCCGTATTAATGCGATGTTATATATAGTGGTAGGTCAGGAAAAAATCAAACTATTTATATGCGACCATTCTGGACGTGCACGGGCCCCTTTCTCCTATTCGCGTTGTTATTACTATAATTACACGCCACTGGCATCCATGCTCAGTGGGGTGCTTGGGTAAAATTGGGTACTCGGCCTTGGTTTTAATTACACCCCTAAAACACGTTCTGTTGAATATAATAACACCTCTTTTCACATACAACGCACGACTCAAATCTATTGTTACGGATGCCTATAGGAATTGGAATTTTACCCCTTCAATAAACCACTTTTGCAAGTCGCGCCCTCTACAGACGAAGCGCTCCTATGACGTCAACATTCAATGTCGTCCAATTAGGTAACTGTTTAGTTGCGTATCCATTCGACATTTAAAATATAGTAAATCTATCAAAACAGTATTTTTTTTTCATTTATTAATGGACGACTACAGATATACCACTTTCCCGGAAGTCTTTCATTTACGTCATGGAAGTGCTTTGTCACCAGAGGGCGAGACTGGGAAGTGCGTATTGACTGTACACGTCGCGTTACGTGTATTGCCGAAATGTGTTCCCAACTTACTCGTGTTTTTTTTTTCAAGATTGTTTACCCACGTTATATCCTATTAATGATCTGCATCGATTTTACATCAAATATACAATTTTTCGTTTATTGCGAGATCCCGTGTTATGCGTGGAATCGAAAGTTAACAAAAGACAAACAAAGGTCATAGCGTCACAGTGAGGTCAAAACAGGATTCGACAAACGCGAAAGTATTATGGGGTATTTCTACGCTTAATAATATGTTATACATCAATTGGTGTTGGTCAATTATGATGAAATAATGATATTTCAATGCAAAATTCCCCTCTTCAAAGATCGACATTTTGACACTCAAACACAAATTTAAATTCATAATCAAATCTATTTTCGCGGCAGACGTTCGGTCCGCGCCATACACGCAATAAGCAAGACCTCGCAGTGAACAGGAAAACATCCATTGGAAGTACCAGAAATGAGCGTATGAAATAATACATCTAGAGTAAACTATGCTAGTGAAACTTTAAGTTATAAGTATAAAAAAATAATAGAAACTAGAATCAGATCAATCCCGGCCATAATACATGGTCATACTCACTTATTTTTTTCTTTTATTTTTTGTTTGTATTTATAAACTTTTATTGGAGTTTGTACTGAAATTAACATCTTACATACCTGGTTTATACATTACAAATTACATTTAATACGGCTGCATTGTGAAGCGGATTTGGAAACATTTTTCAAAAAATTTCCCCATTTCTTATTATGAGAAGTCAATCTATTCCGTCGGGCAGCAATGACGTACTCTATCTCCAGTATATATTTTACCTATCTTTTGTATGCCATGAACTTTTGGTTTTTATGTCTACACGAGCAAATATCAATTTTTGCTACCAGAAAGAGGAAGTTGACTAAACATGTAAACATTTTATCACAGAGCAGGATTTGTTGTTCATACGGGAATGCCCTCAGGCCAAGCATATACATTGTTTCCCAAAAATATTGGGTACATTGACATTGGTAAAAGATTCAGAGCATGAAGAACAGAAAGTACACCGGTAAGACTCCACAATGGGAAGATTCATCTTGAATAATGTTTTGTTTGTAGTCCATGTTGTGCCCAGGCTGACAAGTGCATGTTTTTCTAAGAAAAAAAAGACGAATTGAAACAAACAAGAAAATCACGCAATTAATTTATTTAATTTCATATATTTGGTGTTAAATGTTATTTATTCATCACTCAAATCACAGCAATATCCCATAGCAACGTCTGGGCAATAGTGGGTGAAATTCGCGACTACGCCATCAACGACAAATAAAAGTATTATTATTGTAAATGTAGGTGAAAGATACATAAACGACACGCCAATGTTAGGAAAAATAAATAATACAACCCGTAAATAAACTGCGCCCTCTAGTGAATATGCATCTCTGTAACGTTAATAGACGATTTTCCCGGAAGTAGCAAAACTGGGGTGCAAAAATACTCCTGCTTTGTCATGGCGGAAAATACAAACATGTCAGTTTGCTGATAGTCGATAGAAGGTAATTCTACTTTTCTGGCAACGATTGGTACACCGAGAAGCATAATATCACGCATGCAAGTTTACACCCCAAAACGACATGCGCTCGCATGCGGCGAAACGCCGTATCTTCGACTTCCGGGAAACGCCGTATCTTCGACTTCCGGGAAGGTCGTCTATGATGCAAGGCGTTCCTGTTAATAACAAATCACAGTCCTTCTATAATCAGTCTATATTCTATAGAGGGACTGTGAACAAATACTATTTTGTGAGATTTGCTGTAATCCAAATACCGAACGACAACACAACCAAATTTGAGTTTTCTATTTGAACGATACACCCGTTTACGTCATTTTGACGTCACAGTAGCAAATCGTCGCTAGATGGCGCAATTAAAGACAACATGTTAATACTCAACGAACAAACAACTAGTCATTCACTGCCAAGTTAGCTTGCTACATACATGGAGTTCCAAGCTACTAACAATCCCCAGAATAACTTAAAGCGGGGTGTCGTCACCTGCGCATGCGTTAGATTGCCATGGCGTGTCATTGTTTACAAACAAGCGTCTACCCATAAGCCTTTTTAGCGTGTGTTGTTATCATCATCGCTCGGGACTCAATTTCCGCGCGTGCGCAGGTGACGACCTTCCCGCTTTAATGTACCTACCAACACAGTTCTGTACACATGCAGTAGTAATAAATGATCACATTCATGTTACATTCAAAGAATATTCGCTATAGGGAATTTAGTAAAATGTAAAATAAAGCAGAACCCACAATCTCAAATCGCCTTCCAGCCACCCTTTATCATAAACTTTTACAATTTATAAAACACGTAATACAAAGTACATGTTTCCATTCATGCGCACTAAATAGAGCTAACCTTGGAAGTATTCTGATTATTTCAATGCAAAATGTTATAGTCTAGGTGAATTGCAGTTTTCTGTGACTATTAAAATTTTGGTTATGTTCAAGCACCACGGTTTGAGCTCAACTCCATGTCGAAGGACAGGCGAAGAGACAAAGCATTTCACATACTGCCGTGTTTTTGAAGTAGGCAGTTAATTAATTAATTAATTAATTAATTAATTAATTAATTAATTAATTAAAACACTTAAAGGGGTTGTGCACTCAGACCAATGGAAGGTTCAGTAGTGAATGACTTGTGTGTTGGTTCATGGTATTATCATGCTGGGCTTTGCCTTTAAGTTATATGAAAAGTCTATTGTGATTTCATCAACCGAATGACCCAAACATACCCCCCCCCCCAGCGAGGTGCAGAACACAGCGTCAAATATCGGAATAAAGGTGGGTTTAGCTCATCTCAATTTCCCACCAAGCTGGACTCGAACCGGGTCGGCGTTGCACAAGAACGTGGCTTGACAGTGAGCTTCTGTACGATCTGGATTCCCGGCGACTGTCAAAATACCGCTGCCAGTCGTCAACGAATTGTACATTTGCAGTGACTCTGTTTGATTTGAATTCATCTGAGGTGTATTTTTCGAATCTGTCCAACGTTTGATATTTTCTTTTCGGTCCATGAGGTTTTGGAATGACTGAAAATTAAAACAAAACCACAATTATTTATAATTGCCGGGATAACACATGTGCACCGTTATTTGTGCAGAAGGTGTAGTTTGGATATGATTTAAAGCGGGAGGGTTGTCACCTGCGCACGCCTGGGAATTGAGTCCCAAGCGACGATAACAACACACGCTAAAAACACAAAGGCTCATGGGTAGACGCTTGTTTGTAAACAATGACACGCTATGGCCATCTGACTCATGCGCAGGTGACGACTCCCCCGCTTTAACACAAATATGCGTCATGGGGTGGGTGGGTGCTATGAATTTTTACAATCAGAAACCGTGCCCGCTCTTTTTTCAGTTCTATAGTTTTATATCCCCAAGTGTATTTTTGTGTGATTCTAGCCATGTGTAATTCTTACCGGATTAAGCGAAACACTGAATTCTACCCTCCCAGTTACATCGTCGCGCAAATATTGGTGTTTCGGCGGCGGCGGTGGACGCCGATCTTTCACCATTGTTTAAGCGGATTCAAACCTCGGGAATTTGATTGTTTCAATTCATCCTTCCTCTCAATGAGACGCTCATTTTACTCTGGCCGTCCCGTGCGCCATTGAATTTCGTGTAACCAAACACTGTATTTTACACGCGTTGTATACGTCGCATTGGCGCCTATATCGAACAGGACGCGGTGCGACGACCACCACCTTTTAAACAGAGGAACACTTATTGTTTACGTACTTATATTATCGCCAAGGCACATCATAGATGTCATATTGGGAAAGAACGGCACTGCCCGCATTTTGTCACCTTTACATCGCTGCCACAACGCCGGAAGCTCAATAAAATCGTCTGTTTGTAATCCTAACTGCCTTCGAAGAGTTTTTCTGTTGAAATCGATAAAGCTCTGCAAAAAACAATAAAATATATAAAATGTAAAAGCCAAACGAAACACTTTAAGGGTTGTCGCGGCTAAGTAATTCAGTAAGAAAATTTAAAACACGACAGATTCTTATCATATCATATTGCATATCATATTGCAGGGTGAAAGCGTTGTAAAGTTGTAGTGTCGGCAAAACTTGTATGCTCGCGTTGAAACCCCCGAAGCTCAAATCTGAAAGTTTCGGAATTCATGAGTTAAACTGACAAAAACCTGACGTATCGCGCGATTTGTTCATTGTCACCACTACTATCAATCCCGTCATGCATTGCGGTTCAAATAAGTGCACACTAAATACAACTAACCTGGGGAGTATGTAATTTTCGAAGTTCGGGCGCAATGATAAAATTAGTAAAACTAGGCACCCAGAAAACGCAAACCTCCGCAATAAGAATGCAAATTACATATCCGCACTCATACCGCTACCCTAATGATACATATATCATATTCACAAAAGCTACTACTAGTAATTTCTTTTCGTATCTAATCCGTCTAATACTTGGTTAATGTTTGAAGGACAACTCTTACTTAAAAACACAATATGTTTTTCATTTACTTTTTTACGAATAGTCTTTGAACACATTTTTGTTTTCATCGCATCGAGATCCAGATCTCAACCAATCTATTACTGATTGGTACCCTACTAAAAATGTCATGAAAATCTATCAATCATTCCCAAAATTTTTGTTTCCATGGCAACCAAATCCGCATTCATATCAAAATATAATCGATTGGTACTTGTATCCAAAGGAAACCCCTTCTCAAAGTTTTCGAGTTTTAAATGAAAACCACAAAATCCAACAATTGCTGTACCCATGACAACCCGCATCTCCAACATGCAATGGAAAATCCAATGAAATCCATGTCTTTTGGGTGATAAATAAAAAATAATTCCCGTAATTGCCGTCTCCATGACGACCGGAGGTCAAAGGCAACCCTCTTGAAAACTACGAAAATTCATCTATTATAACTCGTTGCGCTATCCTGGTTAAAGTCAAATAAGCAGACAAACAAACAAACGTACGCAGGCAAAACATAACCTTTCTGCTTGTCGGAGGTCCTAAACGTCTATATTCTGTTATAACAGAATGGTTATTCAGGAAACAACTCCGAGTCAAAAATCTGGTGTGCATCTCAGACTAATCTTAATGGAAAATGCCTCACATCGAATTTGTAATATAGTCCACCTTCTATCGCTGAACAGATAATCCTGTGCCATATACAATTCGGCGATGACTTGACGACCCCCTAAGATGCTGAAAATTTAATCACAATTTAACCAACGGACCAGTTCGGTGATGTTCGGTTATTATGGTGCCTATTTTGAGTTAAAAATTGGCCATACAGTTGAATACATACAACTGCGATCATAATGCAAAAGTTAATCCCGATTCCTTGCTTCTGCCCTTCAAATATTAAGATTTTAAGAAAACTTGTGTCTCATAAGTGTGTTAGCCGCTTTCATCAATACAGCACCACTGTCATTGTGCAGTGCGAATTCGAATTTTATATGAACAAACAATTTCCTTTAAAATATATACGTGTGTATATATGTGTGTCTGCCATTGTTTAAATCGGTGTTCCCAACTGGGAATGTTATGAACGTTATATAAATTCATTTTTTCTTAAATCAAAATGACAGGTAAAATTCAGAATCATGGCGAGCTCACCACGAGCTCTAATTAATATCAATGAGCTACGTATACTTCAACATCATCCAATCAGCAAGCCCTTCATTTTGAGTGGGCGGTCGCAGTTTCTATGACGCTTGTATGCTCGCGCGCGCAATTATGGTCGTAGACAATGTTGAGCTCTTGAACCAATCAATATTAAATATTTGAATTTGAATAAAAGCTGATTATCGGTGTTTACAAATTGTTATATATTTATAAACTAAACTAAACTAAAGTACAGGCAAGTTTAAAAGTGCAATATGAATGAAAACTTGCAGCAGTAGGACAATTGCCTTTCTTATCCATAATGCATGTTTTCATACCTACCTGAAAATGCTGGTTCATTTTCCAAAATTCTCTGTCGGCGAGAATATTAGACACTTTTATCGACGCGTCAATTCCATTCAATGTCTTGCCTGCGTGTGAATGGTAAATACAGTGTGACTCTAATGAAATAGACATGGTTACTGGTTATTTGGAAACAAAACAGAAACGTACCACACAAACAAGAAAACATCTTCCAACTATCCACACTCTAGCTTCGACTTGAGATAAAGTTTTGAACTTTGAGATCAGCCAGATGTCGGCTATCGACTAATACGGACATGCACACCGTAAAGACCCATCTGTCCACACTCAATATGAATAGATTTTAAATCTATCACACAATCCACCAAACATCATATTTAAGGAAATTAAACATAGAACGAGAATAGAACTACACCTTCACAGAGAAATCCCTCTCCGTCTTTCCTAAAGTCCAATAGAAGGTCTCTGCATATATACATACTTGGTGTCACTACCTTGAAACCCTGCAATTTAAAACGATGTTGTTGTTGTGTAATAGTAGGCCACATAGAGTGGGGGTAATGATTGTGGGCAACTACAGGCGAATTGTAGGCTGAGGAGAGTGTAAAATAACTTGACGAAGAGCAGTCTAGCTGAATAGAGAGCAGGTTTATCTGGACACAAAGCAGGCTAACCCGATGAAAAAAGGCTGACAGGGCGAGGAGAAGATTGGATGAGTGGAGCCTGAGAGTAGTTTAACTAAGTGGAAAGTAGGCTAACTGGTCGGTGGGTCCATCTGCGGAAAAGTAATCTGACTGGGCGAAGAGGCAAACTGGTCAAAGAGCAGGATAACTGGCGGAGAGTAGTAACTGAGTGGACAGTAAGTTAACTGGTCAGAGAGTAGGCTAACAGATTGATGGGTCTAACTGTACGAAGGTGGTCTAGCACGGCAGAGATCGGGTTAACTGATCAGAGAGCAGATAACTGGCGCAAGGTAGCCTAACTGGACAGGATGTCGGCTAACTAGATGGAACATTAGGATAACTGGGCACTAGAAGAGTAGTATAACAGGATGAGCAGAGAGTACACATAGCAATCGTATATTCCCACTCGCCTGCTCCGCAATCCCACAGATACCCAACTATTGCGTGTAGACATAACAACGCAGAAATAATGCAGCTGTACCACGCGCTCTCCTCAGCGTCCATATTGTTTTAATCTGTTGACATCCGTCAATGAACGTTTTGACAGATTTGCCGCATTTGTTGCTTACACCCAGCTACATCACTTTGTCATCACATACGCATTTTTTCGAAAGACGGAGGGTGTGATTGTTAGGAACATAATTAGAGTGAATAACATTACCCTGGGTCCAGTAGCTGGCACAAAATTAACCACACTAGCAATGTCACCATTTGCTAACCAATCTGTGAAGACTTCCACAATAGGTTGGACTTTCTGTGAATTAATGAAATGGGTCATGGATTGTGGCAAATAACCCACGGGATAATCACCAAATTTCCAGTTTCTGAAACAAAGCGACAGGATAGTCTTTGACCGATGAGCATCAAATTACCAAACATATTCAGACAGTTCCTGACATATAATCACAGTTATTATTATTTAATCTTCACTCGCAAAAAATCACACTCTTTGTAGGTATTATGAAGAACTGTTAATTTAGCCCGTGGAAATCATGGTATCTTTAGGCGGGGCTAAAACTCTACATTGACTCCCACTAACGTATGTTACTCATCCTAGACTAACTCCACACTGACTCGCACTCGCATACATTACTAACCCTAGATTGACATACAATCACGTAGGTTACTCACCCTACCGAGATGAAATAATCCACATCGACATGCACTCACCCTAGCATTGTCCGAGTCGCATGGTTTTGCTAAGTCGGCTGGTCATTCAGGACCGGCCCAGGCTCTGGCTGAATAAATGGTCCTTGGCTGACGAAGATGGCACCTTAGATGAACTCCACATTGACACGCACTCACCCTAGATGAACTCCGCATCGACACGCACTCACCCTAGATGAACTCCACATTGACACGCACTCATGCATGTTACTCACCCTAGATGAACTCCTAATTGACACGCACTCACCCTAGATGAACTCCACATCGACACGCACTCACCCTAGATGAACTCCACATCGACACGCACTCACCCTAGATGAACTTCGCATCGACACGCACTCACCCTAGATGAACTCCACATTGACACGCACTCATGCATGTTACTCACCCTAGATAAACTCCTAAATGACACGCACTCACCCTAGATGAACTCCACATCGACACGCACTCACCCTAGATGAACTCCACAACGACACGCATTCACCCTAGATGAACTCCACATTGACACACACTCACGCATGTTACTCACCCTAGATGAACTCCACATTGACACGCACTCACCCTAGATGAACTCCACATCGACACGTACTCACCCTAGATGAACTCCACATCGACACACACTCACCCTAGATGAACTCCACATCGACACGCACTCACTCTAGATGAACTCCACATTGACACGCACTCGCGCATGTTACTCAACCTGGATGAACTTCTAATTGACTTGCACTCACGTACGTTACTCATTCTTGATGAACTCTACATTGTCACAAACTCACGTACATTACTCACCCTGGAGTTTCTCCACCGGGAGTCAGTGATGAAACCAGCAAGGCACCCAGTGGGAAATATGGATACATAGGCGGAGTTGCCATAATTCGATCAAAACCCCAGACCTTTCCGATAGTAAAATAGTTCAGGTGGGAACCCTGTTGAGAAAAAACAAAGACAAAACATCTTGTTTCTATATATTTGAAACCGCGATGAATTTTTCACCAATTCACAACAATTCATCACATTCGTCATTATGATAATATTGTTTTACAATTCAGTACTCCATTGGACATTACCAACACAAGATCTCTTTTGCTGTCTTCGTCTTGATGCATTGCAACAGCCACCATGGTCTGTGTTTGTTCTGTGGTCTGAGTAAACCCACATGCCATCCAAGCCTATGAAATAAACAGTAAAATGATCAACTGAATTTTTATTAAAGAGACATAAGCTGTTTTGTTTACATTTTATAATCTACGAGGGGCGTTAAATAAATAATGCCTCTGACCCACTTCCAGTTGTCTGTTCTAGATGAAATTTTGCATGTGTAATGATTTACATCTCTATGGGTTATGTTCAAAAACAGCTCTGAACTAATTGTGGTTTCTGATTTACAGGTGTTTGAACTGAGTCAGGGGTGAAATGGAGCCAGCTGGGTGTCGCGCAGTGATCCGGTTTTTGCATTTGAAAGGACGCACACCAAAAAAGACTTTTGATGAAATGAAAGAAACTTAAGGTGATGATGCCCCATCATATGAAGTCTGTGGAAACAACTCCCAGACATGGTCGTCCCTCTTCTGCCATTGATGAGGCATCTGTCCGTCAAGTTGAGGCAGCTATTTACTGCTTGCCAAATAGCCCAAGAGGTCAAGATTAGTACAGGGTCAGTGGAAACTATCATTCATGACCATTTGCATATGCATAAAGTGTCTGCCAGATGGATTCCCAGGTTGATCACACCTTTCCAAAAGCAAGAACATGTTGAATGCCCGAGGATGAATTTGGAGATGTGCCAAGAAGATGAGTCAAAGTTTTTCTGAATTACACAGGTTGAAACTTGGGTCAATCACTATGATCCAGAGACCAAAGCTCAATCAATGCAGTGGAAGCACTAGGACTCACACCTCCAAAGAAGGCAAGGGTGCAGCCCTCCGCTAGCAAGGTCATGCTCTTCTGGGACCAGGACGGAGTAGTGATGACAGATTTCCTGGCAAAGGGTACCCCAATTACGGGAGCCTATTACGCTTCACTTTTGATGAAATTAAGAGAAGTTATCAAAAGGTGGGGCAAGATCAGCAAAGGTATCATCCTCCTGCAGGACAACGCTCCGGTCCACAAATAGCATGTCACCAGATCAGAAGCATGGGCGTGTGGCTATGAAATCCTCCTCATCCCCCTTACTCTCCTGACCTTGCCTCCTCTGACTTTCATCTTTTCCCAGCCATGAAGTTGTTTTTGAAAGGAAAACGTTTCCCAGATGATGCAGCCTTGGGTTTTCTACAAAAACGGTGTCCAGAGCTGCATCAAACGATAGAAGAAATACATAACTCTGGGTGGCTCCTATGTAGAGAAAGACTAATAACTGTACCAAGTTTCATTAATCTCCTTCTATGGGAAATGGGTCAGGGGCATTACATGCCAAATATGACGTCTGTGATACAAAATATACATACATTAGATAATATGTAGGGATGTTCATCGCATATGCAAAAATCAGCCTAGGAAATTAAATTTATATTTGTTACAACAATTCATCCACCAGGTATTTGCATGATATTATTATAAATATATACAATATCACTTGACATATCATCATCTGTGCACTCATTTGATACAAGGGTCATTTTAGCTCATTTCTGCATGGATTCAAAAATATGAAGAAAATGTCGAAACACACACATGCAATGTATGTGGGTGGTATAATGATGTTGAACCAATCTTATTGGAGGAATATATTTATACATAAACAGGTATTAACTAACCGACAGAACTTCGCCTTCTGGATGAGAGGTAACTTTGTGTCTCGGAATGGTCACTAAACTGGCACCTATCGCCTCAACTGTGTTTCTGAGATCATCTACTGTGGTTTCTGTGACACCCTCCGATTTGTCGTCCACTACATACAACGCGACTGGGGCAGCTAATGGCGAGGGCAATATCCAGGTACATACACGCAGGTATATTTTATCTTCATAAATGACTTCCTTTTTCTATGTGGATCAAACAATACTGGTATATTTGAATTGTGGTTTGATTGTTTTGGATGGTGTATTCAGGGTAAAAAAAATGACAAAAAATATACACTTCGAAGCAAAACAGAATAATGCTTATAGATATGAATGGTTTGTTGATGGAGAAATGATGTTGACCTTGCAAATTAAATTAAAGCTTAAATTAAATTCCAGTGTATACGTAACGAACACCACGGAACATCGGATACTAGTAGTTGTTTTGGGCTACGCCCTCACAACACCCCTCTGTTTTATGGTGTTTCCTGCACGAATACAGTAGAGTGAAGAATATTCACTGGGTTTAATTCTGAGTGGGTTTGGCGCGTTGCATGGACATTCACTATAGATTTTAAATTCAATTGTTTGTGAAAGAAATATATTGAATTATTAATTTTGCCTACTTCCTGAGTTTTAATTCAGTGCACTTATTTATCAGCTAAATACGCGAAAGTATTTGTAAAATTCTATATCTCTTGATGAAAACAATCTACGGCATTGTGATGTCACAGAAATGTTCGTCGGTAGAGGGCGTTAACATATCACGGGCGGATGTGAAGCGGAATTAGCTTCGGACCTTAGACCCTACCTTGTACAATGACAGCTTTATGGCTACAAACTCCTTAGATTGTGTAGAGCCGTCGTATAGTTGCTGCCCTTGGGCTAGAAGTTTTGTTTCAATGATATCTTCGCTCCTGGCGTTAGAGGACGGTGGCGGCCATCTTACAACTGCCTCCGTTTCGCTCGTCTCTGGTCCAATCATCTGTCTGAGCAGTCCCTCAATGGTGTATGTGTATATAGATATAGATTGCTTGCAATCCTGGGAAGACATGTAAAACGACATGTACTTCAAATAAAATGGTCTATAATATTCCTCTACATTTCATCACCACTCATTTCATTCAAGTTTCCACCTGAAATGAAAAGTTATGCTGCCATTCTTTGAAGTGGTCAATGTGAATAATTTGGAGCACAATTTTGATATTGTATCTTACAATATATCGTAAAGTGAAAACATTTTTTGGCAGCAAATAGAGCGGTGTATTCAATTGATTCAATAATAAATGCTAGCTCTGTCTCTTGAAATTATGCGTACGTATCACGAGGTAAATCCGGGCGCACGTATACTAGCGTTTCCATAATGTTATCGTTTGATCAGTGTCAACGTATTGTTAAAGAGGTCGCGTTAACGCAAACATCTAGGACATAATGATTTGTGTCTTTGAAACGCACGCAGAATCACATTAACGCAGCAAACTATACTTGCGTACCAGGCACTGTGAATGCATTTATTAATATGACACGAATACGTAGATACATTCGCCTATGTGTTACATTCCTCCATCCAAAGATTTATGGGCGACCTATACAACAGTAAAATCATGCTCAGTCGATTACCCGTAATACACTGCGGCAATGATGTCACTCGGCTCGCGTGTAACCTTTATAGATGTGCGCCAAGAAAACATGTACGAGATAGATGTAACAATTTTGTTTGTGTTATTTCATCGTTAGTCTGTTTTGCTTTTGTGGTTAAAGGAATGTGCTGATAGATTGTCACAGTTGAGTATAAATAAATAAATAAATAAATAAATAAATAAATAAATAAATAAATAAATAAATAAATAAATAAATAAATAAATAAATAAATAAATAAATAAACAAGCAAGCAAACAAACAAACAAACAAATAAATAAATAAATAAACAAACAGACAAACAAACAAAAATATTTAAAAAAAATATGCGAATAGTTCGTTGAAAATGATGCACCGAAACTGTGTTTCTTAACGTTCTGTAGCGGTATCAAGAAACGAAATCACTAAATGCCCATTTAAATTCCGTCGGGATTTTCATTGTTATGAAACGAAAATGCTTCGCCTGGGAATTTCCAAATATTTCTGACGACGAGCTGTTTCAAGGAATTTTTATGTCACTACAATAATCACGTGACTATACCTAACCCCTCATTTATCAGCCATACGTGCAAACGACTAATACCTCTTCTAAGTGTCGCAATCATCCACGATCTATTCTCTTTATCGGTTTGTTGTTTTCTTCAGTTGGAAACAAACTCAGCGAGAAACACGGTACGCCGTCTGGATTTGAGGTGACGAACATAGTAGTCAGGTTAGTAAACCGCCACTTTATTTGGATGAACTTCCAGACATAACCATAGGTTCTGAACCATTGGTATAAATCTAGAGTCGTACTATATCCCGAGGAACATTCAAAACTAAACTTTGGTCAGATACAATTATTATATAATAATAGACTAGTATGTAATTATATAAGAACAATCAGTCCCCCCCCTATAATGGGAATTTCCGCTAGTCTAGTCAGTACGTGCATGGGATTCAGTCATAGTAACACAATAACGGCCAGCACGTGATTATATTAGATGGGGTCATTGGATACGCCCATTCGCCCATTAAAAAGTACCACCGACACGCTTTGTCTTGTGACTTCCAAAAAGGTATGGCCCAAATTCGATGTATGAAAATATATTTCTGTGAAATTCAGTATGGATTCAGTGCGATTATCACACAATTAATACGTCTGGGCATTAGTATTTATTCAATAATTGGTGTCTTAATTTGAACATGCTGGAAATCCGATTGCAGGGAATTACCGTCCCGAGCGATTCCGAAGATAAGTGATGTTACTGAAAATTCATGACAAGTTGGCAAACACTGGCAGTTAGTAGGGATACCAAAGAAAACAATCTTCTTTGTCTCGGGGTGGATAGTTTTGGTCTGTTCACAGAACACAACCATAGTCACATTATTATATCGTAACACAGATTGTATGCTTGTACAATATGCAAATGACCAAAGGCGAATGACCAGAGGCCAAACAATTAATAACAACTAAAAACACACAACTGTACGTATTCATGCCTGATTATATATAGGTCACTGTGAATGCATTGTTTCCGTTCACTTCTATAATACAGTAACACGTGTGAATTTTTTTATTTTTTTTAAAAATCTGACCCATGTTTAGACATTTTCCAAATTAGTTGACCCATATCTAAAGAGTTTTCAGGGTAAAGTAACCAATTCATGCGTCTTATCATAAATACATTTTGCACATGAGAGTGTCCGCGCCTGAATCCACAAAAATAACTATAACACCTGTTTCCTTACAGCGCTTTTTCTCTGTGAGATCGAAAGCATCTAGTTTTGAATAGTAGTGCATGAAAGAATACAATGGCAACTAACGAAGTTCCCGTCGACATGGAAGCTTTAGCATCTGCCGATATCGAACACAGCGAAAGGATTGGGTCCGCAGAAGTACACGTATCAAGCCTTGTTACTGAATACAACAACCCCAAACTGAGTGATGTAGTATTAAAGATAGCGCACAAGAGTTTCTATGCACATAAGTTATTACTAGCCCACTTCAGCGATGTATTGTGCACCATGCTGACCGAGTCAAGATGGAATGACTCCAATTCAACGGAGATTATATTGGAGGAAACGCCGGAGTGTGCTGCTGTATTCCATAGTTTCCTGGAGTTCATGTACTGTGGTCAAATTGACATCTCGGTGTCAACTGCCCTCCCATTGCTGGTTTTGGCAGACAAGTATAACGTAGTTAATTTGAAAGAACTCTGTGAAAACTTTATGATGAGCCAGGTAACGAGCAGAGGCAGCGTAAGGGGAGCTCTGCAGTGGTGGGGACATGCTGACAGCTATAACTTGAATAATCTTGGCCAAGCATGTTTGGAGTTGATACTAACTGACTTAGACGAGGCTTTGTTGACCGAAGAATGGTTGGCATTATCCACTGATCAATTATGCCACATACTTGCGCAATCAGATGCATGGGTTATAAACGAATTTACTCTGTGTAAAGGGGTAGAACAGTGGTTGATCATATCTACTCACAGGATAAATGCGGCGGACACAATTAACCGAGTTTTGTCACTTCTCCGTTTCTGTCAGATGACACCGGCTCAATTATACACTATAGAGCAGTCGGACTTTTGCAAGACATCTCACGCTGCATTTTCCAGTCACCTATTTTATGCATATTGGTATTTGGCGATGGGAGGGGATGGGAACCCAGTTACCGATTTCGAAAAATCCGTGCCGCGGTATTACGAAATGCCAAATGAAAAGTTACGTGTGAGCATCAACTGGAATAAAATCGGCGCAACACAACAAGGCATGCCTCAATTCTCAGTCAACACGCGGGAATATAACGCCCGAACAGGCCAAACATGGCATCTTGGTATTTCCAAACAAAATATTTCTATCAATAACGATAAACGTCATAACTTATTTTTGAAATTTTCTAATTTGAAACAATATGTAGGTATGTCATATTCTGCGGCAATAAGTCTGCATGACGTATCATCTGGTTACATGTTGGCTAGATTGAGTGGTAGGGGTAACATTGGAGATACGAGTCAGCACGTATTTTATATCGGTGGGCGTGACCCTAACACCGATGCGTTACTAGACAAAGAATTCACATCACTGAGGCAGGTCACAGACCCTCAACACCTGTTGAGGGACTGTAGGCAGGTATATAATCAGAACAGAACACGTCTACCAGGTATATAATCAGAACAGAACACGTCTACCGCCCGGGCTACCGACCAGTGACCCCCATGCAGTGTTATTTGCGTTCTCTGGTATCGAAAACTGTCCCCAAACAATTGAGATCGTCTCGCGTATCCGAGTATTCAGGCCAATCACGGTTTAGGACATCTTGTGCACGTGTTTCGGCGTTTACGCTGTATAGCCAGACTGACATTAGTTTATTCACAGTCTGTGGTTTATTCCATATATTATGACACCTCATGTCGTACAGTACAGCCATATGCTAATTGCACTTTGAACGTTTGACGTCATAGGTTAATAATCTACATTGCTGTCTTATTCCCGCTTAATCTAGGGTGCCGC